GGGGCMTCTGTCTGAAGAGGGCTGCCCAGCGCACGTGGGGCTGCGCGTAGCAAAAGGGAGAGCGGGGAGGGGTGCAAGTGATGCCCCTTTGGCTTTGGTAGCTTGGCACACTGTGTGATGGGTGCATTTACTGCAAGCTCTCAGGGCTTCAGAGTTCAGCATTAGCTGTGCTGAGCGTGGGATCGCGACATGCTCAGATGTACTTCAGCTTCAGTAGTGAAATACACCTCTGGTGCAGCGCACGTGCAGTGCGGAGCATGGGGAGAAAAGCAGGTTTCTTCTGTCTCTCTAGCCTCACCTGGACAGCGACCTTAGGAAGAGATGCGATTCATCTGTGAATACTGGAGCAAACAACAGCTAATGCATTTCACCGGAGGTGCCAGGGAGCCAAATTGTAATGCTTTTGCACAGCTCTTTAAATGAGTGATTTATATCTTTACTTTGATATTTTCAATTTATGTATTCTTTGTATACCGTTTTAAAAGCCATTCTAATGGAGATCAGTAGATTCCTTTGGACTAGTAGTTCTGAAGCGGGTTTGTTTGCTGTGAGGCATTAAATAAAGAAAATGGAAGAAACCTGCAGAGCACCTGCAGATGGCACTTTGTTCTCAATCCATTCAGATTTAGCTCACTATATTTAAATGAGCCGTTAATTAAAGAAAACTAAATCAAATAGGTGTGGGCTGTAAAAGGCAATCTTCAGAGGGTGCTGGCCACCTCTTCAGCTGCACTGACGCTTGGATATGGGGTGTATGATAAACGGGCACGTCAGGGCTGGAGCGGGTGTAGGATCTCACAGATTCGGGCCTGGATGTGAGTGAGGCCTCAGGAACAGGCATGAGCTTTCGTTCCTCATTTCAAGTCTCTGGTCTAAAGCAGGTGAAACTGAAAGATTTAAAGCCAATATTAAAAAGCTTTCCAGAGCCAGAAAGCATTTCATTTCATTGGGAAAGATGTCTGAGACTCAATTACGTTGCTCTAAAAGGTCCCAGGCCGACCATTCAGGTACGGAAAACGCAGGCCCTCATTTGGTTCCTGAACAACAAGCTCCATCTCTTCTCATTTTACACCTTGCCCAGACCTGAAGGGGTTACATTTTAAAAATGAATAATGACTAGATTTATTCGTCATGGACAAACGATGACAGCTGTTGAGATGCTCCCGTTAGCGCTTCCCAGGGGATAAAGTCAGGCTGGTTCTGAGCGCCGCCAGAGCCGCCTCGTCGKCAGCGCGGATCATTCGCGCCCCTCGCTCGCAGGGAATTTCCTTCCCACAAGTGAGCCGAAGTTTCCTGGGCTAAAATGGAGCTCGATATGGATTGTGTGGAGCCGCGGTGGCGCGGACGGGCCTGAAGCCGCGGCTGTTTAAGTGCCCGTGTGAAGACAGGCTGCTTAATGAATACGAGGGGCGATGATTGATGAGACCCTGCGCTGAAAGCCGCGGCGCTCGGCGAAGCWCTCCTGCATCTGGGCACGCTATGGAAAATATGAAGGAATGTTGAGGAAGCTTATTTGCAAGAGGATATGTACCTGTAAGCAATTCTTTTTCTTTATTTTCTTCTTGAATATGGTGAAAGAGCCGTGGGGGAAAAAATGTGCGCGCCGTTTTCCTAAGAGGAAGCAGATTAGTGAGCAAACAAAGCCCTTTTTTAAGAGCTCCTCTCTGGTGGCGAAGGCTTCGTGTCTCTCATAAATGAGCTCGGTGGGGGGAATTGTMGGAGGGGAGCGTACTGGAGATTATTTAATGTTGGGATGTGGTGCTGATTCCTCTCCACGCCTTTTCTGGAGTCTGGGTGCTTAAGCCCATGTTGAATTTGGCACCTTATGATTTGCAGATGAGCTGGGGGAAAAAAAAAAAAAAAAAAAAGATCCTAGTTCAAATAATTACTGTGATGAGAAGCCAAGGATTGGGGAAAATGCCTTTTAATGACGATGTGTTGCCGTTTGTTTTTGCTCTCCTTTCCTGAACTCCGTGTTGGGGTTTCTTTCTGTTCTTTGTTTCTCTTTCTGYGCGGCGCACGTGCTGCTGGAGGGCTTGGTGTGCAGCCCTGCGAGAGCCTCTGGGCTTTCTGTGCCGCTCCCGCACCAGGAAATGCTGCCTGGTTATTGAACGATACTCTAATGAGATAAACACTTCWTTTTAATGCCTATTTTGCAGAGTTTTAAAGAAAAACGTGACTAAACTTAAACATATTCTGGAAGGGGCATGGGGTGTCTGTTTGCTCACTAATACTCAGCTTACACGGAAATGAGAGTTGATTTAATTACTATAGTGTTATAGAAATTAAGTACTCTTTTTTTCCTGATTTCTATTTATTATATGAAACAGCAAACCACACCCTTTCCTGTGTTTGAAGGTATGTGTTTTTAAAAATGCAGATAGAGGATTCAAGTTAAATAAGGCACCATTTAGCCTGTAATGCAGCTGACCAGAACTTTGTTACCAGATAGAAGTGGTTTTGAAGTAATAATAAAGTATTTGCTGTTATGAATATGATGATGACTTGCTCTTGGCTGATATACTTGCTCTATGGCAGGTATTTGCTTAATACAGAATATAGGCTTTTGAAACAAATGTAAATGGGGTAATTTTTCCCCAAAGTTTTTTTGTTGGAGATGTGCACAAGTTGATCCACCTCACTTAAACCCCCTTGCTAGAGGTTTGGGGAATTACAGGCTTTGAACTATGGTGTAGTCCACCTGTGCAGCTCCTACTGAGGAACATTTCTGAATTAATTCCTATCTGAACTAGAGTGTATCTATTTGGGAAACCAAATCATAAAAACGCTCCGTAGTAGATGTCACCTCTTTGATAGTGCTTCCTGTGATTAATTGCATAAAATCTTTTATTTAAAGAAAAGGCAATTAACTTTGTAAACTTAAGGTTTGATCTCTGATTTCAATTCCATGGAGGTTGCTTGTTGTATGTTTTCTATTAACTATAAAACAATAAATTGTATCAAAACGACACTAATAAAGCTTTATTTGCTATGTTAACACAGAATATAATCAAGCAACTTGTTAAGCCTCTTGTCAGGCTAAACAAATTCCCCTCAAGAGAACTTCCATTTAATTTAATTAAAATCCTATTTTCCAATCCTTTAATCATTCTCATGGCTCTTCATGGCTCTTCTCTGAGCTGTTTTCAAGTTATTCATCTTATTTTTGAATTGTGTATGTCAGAAGAGAATGTTACCAGTGTCAAACAGGAGGGCAGTACAATCTCCACAACCAGATTAGGGTGCTGTGTAAAGGACAGATCTCACATCTGTCTGGCATCTCACATCCTAAATGCAGCTTGTTTTCCTTAACTGTGTGTGACCTTAAAATATTTCTGATGTTAAAGTTSACGCATTTGCTTGTCTTGATGTTTTGGCTGAAAAAAATAGTTTGAGATTTTTGGAATTACTTGCTTTTTCTTTTCCTTTAGATGTTATTTATTTATTTGTAGTCCTTTCCATATTTCAGGCCTTTTTGAATATCGAAATTAATGGCATAGAGATGTCCTCAGCCCTCTGTCTTAAATCGTTGGGTGCTGTTTATTTCAGTGCTGTGCTTTGACTGGACTAAACTACCACATTTCTATTGGAAATGTGTTTTTTGACCTGCAACAATTTTGTGTCTAGCTATTAATTAGCATTAGTCTTCCCATTAGCAATTTGGGAAGGCTGATTTGCTCAAGGCTGCTAGGCCCAGAACTTTTCTATTTTCCCCGGTTTTTCCTCCTTTTTTTTTTTTTTTTTTTCTTTTTTTCCCTTTTCATTGTAGATTCCACAAGAACATGTCTTTAGTAGTATTAACTTATTAGCTTACGTTGAGTTCAGTTATCACATTTCACTCCTTATTGCCTACCTAGGAGCCTGTGTTTGGGCTCAGACTTTCCCAGGTGCTTTCCTGAATAAAGATGGAATGAATCGTGTGCTTGAAATGTTGGCTGAATTAAATTTTGCAAAGTAAAGGTTTCTGAAACAGATGGTGGGGAGGTAGTTTCCTTGGATTGCCTGGATGGATATAGGCATGGATGGATTGGGTCTTAAATCTTGAATGAAGTGTCCGTGTTGAGAAGCTATTTGATGGGAACTGCAGTGGTTTTTCTAGCCTTAATAAATTATGTACAGAATCTATATGAGCTGTCCAAATATTTGTCACCTTTCAACCTTAGGCCGTTTTTAAAGCGGGTCATCTAAGCTGTGTAAAATTGCAATATAAGCAGTCCTCTGGAACTGGAGTGACCTTCACTGAGAATCCAAGTGAATGTAATTCATTTTAGGTTAATTTATGTTCACATTTGGAAGTAGAGGCTACAATTYCCTTTGGATATACACAAAGGGCTTAGCATGTTTTAATTCACATAATACTTCCTTTCTATGGATTTGAGGTTGTTTTTGCTTTTTATCCGTATAGACAAACCCTGGAGATCACTTGAAATGGATTTGTGGCACTGGGGCTCTCTGATTAATAACTGTTTATCAGCAGCATAGGTGTTGCAGTGTGATCTTTCGTGTGTAGGTCTGCCTGTTTTGTGCTGTGCAGGCCGGGTGTACAAGGGCCGCCTGTTCCTTCTGACCCCACTCCTTTTGGATCCTTTGGATGAGTTTCACAACAGCTTGCTTGTGTTCTTGCTTGGACCACAACCTATGGCAAAATAGYTCTCAAACAGGACTAAACCTAAGAGATTAATACTTTCGGTGCCTAACATCTCATCTGTGCTTTGTATCTTTCTGCTGTAGACCTGTAGCTTATTCTTTTTATCTAGAGGCCTTCATGAAGGTTTAAAATGTAGTGGCTGCAGTAGCAAAGGATTGGGCTCGGTGTTTAGGAACGAACAGTCATTCCAGAGTAACTGGATTTTTAGCATGAAGAACCTGCTGAGATGAGAACTGGCCRAGCTGTGCTGTGCATCACTAAGACACACAACGTGCTTTCTGTCAGGTGGACACGTTGCTCAGGGAGTCTTGGCTTCATCAGACTTACAGTTGAATATGATTTTCTTTGACAGATAAGAATTTTGATGATGAAGACTCCGTGGATGGGAACAGACCTTCCTCAGCCAGCTCCTCTACATCCTCAAAGGCCCCTTCCAATTCCCGCAGAGTTGGGATGGGGACTGCCCGCAGGCTTGGCTCTGCAGCTCTGGGCTCAAAGTCTTCAAGTAAGGAAGCAGGATATATAAATCACTTTTATGTAAAATATTTATAGTGCTCAAGCATGAGCTTATTTCAAGGCTTTTAAAGGATACTTAATATCCAGACTGGCTTCCAGGATCCACTAACAAATTTTCTCCTATGAGATCACTGCCTATACGTTGCCTGAATGCCACAAACATGTTTTGGTTGAGTGAATCTGCAGCCATTCCCTGTACTGCCCCAGTCACCTCTGTAGCCGAAACTGGTTGCACAAGCTGAAGTTGAATGTGTAGCTGTAAGCGATCTAAAACTGGCAGATTGGTTTTCTTTTAAGACCTTTCAGCTTTGCTGTACTGAAAATATAAAAAGAAACAGAGCACTAATTTTAAACGTGAGCAACTCCCCTAAATGGGATTATAAAACACTCTTAGAGATGGAGGAAGTTCTCTTCATCAAACAGTCTCCATCTGATTAGTATTCCAGAGACTATTTCTTGTCCTTATCATTTGTCTGTTTGTACAACTGTCAGGAGATGTGCACCTTCATCTATTATAGATAGGATTAAATCCTTTAAAATAAAATCTCCCTTCATAATTAAAGTAAATATTCCCTTTCATCTATCAGACTGTATCCCTTAACTGCTGAGTGGCTTCTTCAGTGTTGTGTCTTCTGTACCTGGGGTTRTACTAGGAATGTGCAGTCTGTTCCTGGTGTTGAATTTTCCTGTCCCTGTTTTCGTTGCATTTGCAGCACTCTGAGACTGTGTGGGTACTGAACTCTCTCCTCATTAGGTGTCTTGGTAGCTGGTGGTTTCTTAATTGATTTTTTTTCTTGATAAGAAGATTGAAAAGGCTTTTTCATTCCTCAGCAGCCAAAGAGGGAGCAGGTGCTGTTGATGAGGAAGACTTCATTAAAGCATTTGAGGATGTCCCAACAGTTCAGGTAAGTAGAAATGTAGATTTAAACATRCTAAACTACTAGACAGTGAAGGTGAATATAGGATCTAGACCTAATCTGGCATCTTACCCTTCAGTGCTGCCAAACCCTTATTAAGGGCAAGGTAAGCTTGGCCTTCATGGCAGCTGAGCTACACATGTACCCCCTCAGGTGCCTCTGTAGTTCAGAGGGGAACACTGACTTCGTATATTGTTGTGTGCTACATGCATCATTCTGGTGAATCTGCTTTTAATTTAGTTTCCAGAGGTTGGTACATCATGACTGGTGAGTAGCTCTGAAAGTGTAGCTAGCTGTTTGTGCTGCAAAGCAGGAGCTTTGCCTATTGACTTTCCATGTGTTGCAGATGTCAGTTATATAGTAGATTTTTTTTTTTAAGACTAGAAGTATGCTTCTTCAAATTTTGAAGCCACAGTAAAATAATAAAAGATGATCTTTTAAATGTCTTGTGATCACTTACTGTTTTTTGATTGTGGGAAACGTATGCACTAACCTTGGTGGGCAATGCTGGTTTGCATGTGATGATTAAGAATTGAGAGGCAAAAGGATACAATATAGTTGGGGAATAGTCTCATTACCTGGAGTACATTTCGTATCTTGATGCTACTTTGTGTTTAAATCTACAGATCTATTCCAGCCGAGATCTTGAAGAATCCATAAACAAAATAAGAGAGATACTGTCAGATGATAAGCATGACTGGGAACAGAGAGTGTCTGCTGTAAGTCGTTAACCTACATATTACCTCTTTTAGTATAAGCTTTTCTTGCAGTAAATTTAGTCCTGTGATGGGGGAATCTCTATGTGAGACTAAAGTGCAATTTAAGTTGTGAAAATGTGTTATGTTGTCATATGTTGGGGAAGACAAAATTTACTGAAGTAGCAAAAATTCCCTCTGGCTATAGGGAAATTCTGTAGGGAATTTCCACTTAACCGGGAATTTCCACTTAACTTTCATTCCCACTTCTGCAAGGAGAAATAGTGAGCAGTTCAGAAAGTCCTGTTTATTTAATAAAAGGGTAAGGGTATGTAAATTCCATGTGAGGAGCAAGGTGGCAGCAAATCAAGCGTGTTGCATGCATGCCAAGCTTGAGTCTTATTTACAGAGATGAGTTGTGTTTCAGTGGTATAAATTGATCCAGGGCCTTGCCTGTGCTATAGACTTTGATCACGGGTATATCAACTGTGACATGCCTGTCAAATCCCATATTCCAGATGTAAGTGGTGCTGATTCAGCTTGCTTCAGTTGTGTTTGCTGAGCTGAATAACAGGGAGCCTCCTATTCCCCGGCACACGTGGGCGTCCAACAGGGCACCTCTGGGATGAAATGGAGGTGCCATTAATATTAATAGAAATCCTGCCATTTTGATGAGGTTGGGAATCCATTTCTAGTGGAATAACATAATTACTTAAATGAAGTCAGTGGAGCCTCTATAATTAAAACCTGAGTATGAGGCCTGGCTGTGAAGTCCAACCATCTCATTATGGAGACAATTGAGAGAAGCCAGGTTTTTATGTTTGGCATAAGATGCTACAATGCTATAAATAAATGGCCATTGTATGGAGGAGACTCTCTGAAATATTCTTTCTCAGTGAAAGTGCATTATTAACCGCTTTGATTGATAATGCAGTTAGATTAAACAAGTGCAATATGCTTGGAATCCTATAACACTTATCGCTTACATTGCTAATACCATAAAATCTGAAATTGCCTTGGTGCAGGGGCCTTGGAAACTGAGCATCAGCCCTGAACTTAGCTGTGCATGTATTTATTGCTCATTAGCTGTCACTTTTTTGTCTTGGGGTGCTAACAGCTGAAGAAGATCCGCTCCTTGCTCTTGGCTGGAGCTGCAGAATAYGACAACTTCTTCCAACACTTACGACTTTTGGATGGAGCATTTAAATTATCCGCTAAAGACCTGCGATCTCAAGTAGTGCGAGAGGCTTGTATCACACTGGGGTAAGTTTACTTTGTAAACCAGCTTATAATATGCTATAGAAAAATGGAACAAACCCTCATTAAACCACATGTAGGATGCAAACTATTCTATTAGTACTGTGTAAATAAAGTTGGAATGGTGTGGGATTTTTTTTTGCCACATCCTATTAAAATTGTTCTTGCACAGGCCAGTGATTAAAGTTGTGTGAGCCTGTGCTTGAGTTTTAGGTGAAGTTCATGAAGGATGCAATGAATGAGCAAGCCATGACTTCAGACTTTAAAATTAGAAACCTTCATGCATATTTTGGATCAGATGTTRGATCTCATTTGGACTATGTTTAACTGGAATCGCTTGGTTAATTTTTGATGAAATTTAGCTATCATAATCCCAGAACTGTATGAGTTATTCATGGACCAAATGGTGACTGCAGAAATAGGCATGTCAAGTGCATTTGTTTCGAGTACGTCACTTTTTTAATAGAAGAGACTGGAGGGAGACGTCTTTTTATTGTTGATTTAGGTATGTAGAATAGATGTGCTAGATTTTGCAGTGTTCTCTGAAATTAGACTCAGAATCAGCCACATAAGGAGGGGAAAACTTGGGCTGCAGAACTGAGCACTCAGTTGTACCAGTTACTGGCAGAACTGTGTGTGCTGGCAGAGTTGCATGTGGGGCTGTGAAATAAGGTGAGTGCTACTGGTGTCCCATCTCTCCAGTTTGATGGGATTTCAGCATAAGTCTTGTGTAAGGAGCACAGGACCGAGTGGTTATGTGATGTTGCTACTGATGTGTGGGGATAAATGTGCTCACCCAGTCAGTGATTCTCCTCTGCCTCAGGAGAGCTATTTAAGCTAAGCTGTCACTGAGTGTGCAGTGAGTCTGTGACTACACCTATGTTTTAATGCTTGGCTAAGTAGGATCCTCTCTGAAATGAGGCCAAATAAGTGCTGCAGCTGGGCCACCTAAGATCTTACCAAGTTAGACAAGCAGTTGGAAACTGCATTAGAATCCAGCTGTCACTGTAACCCATGGCTAGTGCTTCCTCTGACTTCACTGGGGCCAGGATTTTACCCAAGTCCGCAGTAAAACACTGGCAGTCAGTGAGCCATCTCTCTGAGCCATCTTTCTGCTCAGGGAAATCCTGGTGTTCTTGTTCCAGGGAGTGAAGTTTTTAATCAAAATGAGAAACTAAAGAATCAAACACCTAGTAATTGCATTACTTTTGATTGTAATGCAAACAGAAGCATTGGAGACAGAAGGGAGGATATTCCTGATGCTTCTGAGGCTGCAAAACAGCATGGGAAATATCTGCGTTCGAAGCATTTGTCTTGAATCTGAGTTCTGGTTAAACTGAAATACAAGTGGAACAGTTTCTCTGGTCATGCCTGCACTTCCTGTCCAGCAGTAATTATTAGGCCACGAGTAGGGAAATTTTGAACGAAATACATTGATCCAGTGTTTATTTTTGACCATTTATTCTTTGCTGCTGTGTGAAATGCTCTCAGAGTAAGTGCACTGCATTGTTTTCAACAGCACTTTTGGAAATTTATATATGTTAAGGTAAAGTAATTTCAGAGAAACTATGATATGAAATAATTATTATAAGTATTAAACGTCCCACTGGTTTGTCAGTAAAGCTTCAGCTGCATCTCTTGCTTTAAGTCCAATTTTTCACATCTCAGGTAAGCATAAATCATAGTATTAATTTCAAATTGTTATTCTAAAAAATATGTTACTGAAATATTCTCTGTCTTGGTTTTAAGGCAGTTGCAAAGAGCTGAATGTCAAATGTTCTGTAGAATTCTGACACAGTTAATCGTAGCATGACTTCATTCTGTTTTTCAGACATTTGTCATCAGTTTTGGGAAACAAGTTTGACCATGGGGCAGAAGCCATCATGCCAACAATTTTTAATCTAATTCCCAACAGTGCCAAAGTCATGGCCACTTCTGGTGTTGTAGCAGTTAGATTAATCATTCGAGTAAGTATACGTCAAAAGAGGAAAAAATGTTATCACTTCCAGATACTGAAATGTTTCTGAGACTTGTGGGGGAAAATGAATATAAATCCAATGAAAATTACRTTAAGACCTAAGCTACTTGCCTGATTTGTGTTAAGCTTGGCTGCCTCAGATGTCATGCAGTCTTTTCTTAATGTTTTAGGGAACAAGCCCTGTAAAATAGAAAAATAAGTAAACGCAGTAGGTGTTTCTTTTCACTGCCTGAAACTATCTTGTAGGTAGACACTTCCATTAGTAGGACAGAGTCCCAATTTTATGCCTAGTGAGGCACTGGGTAAACTCTGGATTGCTTGACGTCCTTGAGGGTTTTAGCTCCTCCTGTAGCAACTTCAGCATTTTGGCTTGCTGGAGCCTGTTGTAATAGAAGAAAACAAATGTGAAGTCTATGCTTGTGAAAATATCCCTTTATTTCAAAGCTCTGATTTTAAGAGTTGTATGAAACAAAGTATTTACATATTGGAGAAAGCGGCCTTTCATTCCATTGAATTGTAGTGTAAAGCTTTCTTCCTGTTTTTTGTTTCTGTTCTAGCATACGCATATCCCTCGATTAATACCCATCATAACAAGTAATTGTACCTCCAAGTCTGTTGCTGTTAGAAGGTGAGCATTTGGTTTGAATTTCTTATTTAGCAGTAGCTAGGTTCACATATAATTTTGGTAACACTCATATATTTTAGTCATTAATTTCTTCTCAGAAAAAAAACAGCACTTAAAAATGATTTGTGATTATGTGTTGTTAGAATTGTGTCTTGTTATTGTGACTTCCTTCAAGATCCTTTCTGATCTTAAATTCTAAGTGCACTCCAGTTGGTCTGACCCCTCTGGGTGACTTCTGCTTATGCTCTGCAGATCAGTTCTGTTGTAGTCTGAGCAGGAGGTCTTTGTGCTTGATGACTTGTGACAGACCTTGCACAAGTTRCATAGTATAATTTTGTCTTAGCCTCCTGAAATGAGGAAGGGAGACTAAATCTGAACAGGTATGCCTTCATATCAAACTCACGTGAAGCTTCCATGTGAAGCTTCAGCAAACAAGTACAAATCGTTAATTTGGATCTTTTGCTCTGTTCRGTGAAAAAGGAGCTTTTCAGATGGTTTTGTTCTGTTAACTCCCTCTTCAGACTTCTGTCTAAGAGGTCACTCTAGTTGTTTCAGACTGTTTATTGATGGCAATTGCAGAGAGATGGTGTTTTGGGGAAGTCTTTAGTAAGTTGTCTAATGTTCAGTAAACATCCATAGTGAAAGATGACTGTGCAGTAGCAGGTGTGGTGAAATCACTGTGCTTCTGTTAACTTMAGCACTTCTCCTGTTTCTTTTCTCAGGCGCTGTTTTGAATTTTTAGACTTGCTGTTGCAAGAATGGCAAACTCACTCCCTAGAAAGGTAAGCTCTGAAAACAATTCAGGGGTTTCAYTCTCTCCTAACGTCTGGGGAAGTTGGGCCTGCAGAATGATACACATCCTTAAAGAATGGTCCAGTAGGTGGGATCCAGGATGTTTATTGTGGTGAAAAGGCACATCTGGGACACCTGGCTGAATGCATCCCTAAACCTGCCAATATTTATGCCAATATTTAAAACCACGTGTAGTAGCCTTGACCTCATCTAGGAGGAACACTTGAGAACTGTATGGTAGTTGATACAGTATGTGTGGAAGAGTTTGGGATGCAATTTCCTTAATCTCAAACTGCCCCAAACTCTTTTAAGGGTTAGGTATTCTTGTACACGGGCTGTTTCCCTAGCTAGCTAAAGGCTGACCTTGGAAGTACCCTGCTTGCCTTTTCTTGCTCAGTCGCCTGGGTGAAAGAAAACTGACTGCTAAGGATGAGTAAATAAAGCCACCAAAGGAGCCTRTGTGAAAAATGGAGGATCTAATTAACTCCTCTGTTCTTGGAGACCAGTGCAAAATCATCTATTGGGGTCATTGGTCTATAAATTGTGCRTTTTTATGGACAATGTTTCCTTCATATTTCAGACACATATCAGTGTTAGCAGAAACAATAAAGAAGGGAATCCATGATGCGGACTCAGAAGCCAGGATAGAGGCAAGAAAGTAAGTACAAACTATTGTTGCTGTTTATTTTAATTTTACTCATTAAATTGCCTATAAATTGATTCCTGGAAAGTGCCGAGTGCCTTCAACTCCTTGGTTTGCAGCAGGAGGGGAAAGCCTTGTCTCTGCAGCATTGTAAAAGGGCTGTTTATTAAACTTAAGAAAGTAGAAAGCTTTTTTGAATCAGACCCACACAGATACATTTGACTTCTAGGTGTTGGGCTTTTTTTTAGAAATAGATACTGAGCAGCTAGTCCCAAGCCAATATTGGTTATATATCTTATCTACGTATATATTGGTTATGTATCTGACGAATATCTAGTTGGGACTGGTATCTCCTGTTATGGTAGACAGCAGGAGGGATTTTTCTGTGTTAAAGCTTTCCTGACTGCTCATGCTGCAAAGTGCTCAATGGTGTGTTCCTCATACCAATTGATCTGTATTCTGTGGATCTGCTTCTTCAGCTCCTAATAGTTCCCAAATCTTAAGTGTGTTACAGGGGTTGTAGACTGTTGAAATGATYGGACTAATGAATTGCTGCTGTGTAAGGGCTCTCCTCCACTGACCCCTAAAATCTGTGCTTCACTGACCCCTAAAACAGCACAAGGAATTCTCAGTACTGTGACTGTCTTATTTGCAGGTGTTACTGGGGTTTTCATGGTCACTTCAGCCGAGAGGCAGAGCATTTGTATCACACCCTGGAATCATCCTACCAAAAGGCCCTGCAGTCCCACTTGAAGAACTCTGACAGCATTGTGTCCTTGCCACAGTCAGATCGCTCCTCTTCCAGCTCTCAGGAGAGTCTCAAGTAGGTCTTCTAGTGTCACCACCTTTAACTTGACCTAAAGAACTGCAAGTAAATTCACTGAATTGGAGGAAGCCGTCATGTTGCTTTGGGTACCATTTGCATTATTATGCTTGTGTCTTGTCAGGTCATCATTTGGCCTCAGTGTTTTCGCTGCCCCAAATTACTTCCTTTTGAGATACATATATTAAAGCTGGAAAGCCAGGAAAAGCATGGCTTTTTAAAAATCATTTTCTTAGATCTGTAAAATTTTTAGGAGACTTTTTTGCTTAGGCATTGTTGGTCATTGCTTCCAAGTATTCTTGAAATGGTTTGAAATTCTTTGTTTAGCCTTAATCATAGAGGTGCAAAAAAACCCAAAAAGAAATGAAAAAAAAAAAAAACCCTAAAACCCATAAACCCTTGTTCAGCTAATATACCTAGCATTTTTTCTTGATGCCTTTATTAAAAAAAAAAAGATACTCTATTTATACTCTATTTATGCTTATGCAACAAGCTTTATTAGTCTATTCCTGTAACTAAATGGTATGCTCAACAAAGAGAGTAGCCGTGTTAGTGGTGACTCTGAAGTGTATTTTGTTCTAATTAATATTTATATTAACTTCTAGCCGTCCGTTGTCTGCCAAAAGAAGTCCTACTGGAAGCACTGCATCTAGAGGTGAGAACCGGAGCTGGAAAAATGCAGCCMGCTGTCGTTGAGGAAACATAAAGTACAAGGACAATTTTGATCAGTTTACTGATCCTTAAAAATGGCACTTTTTTCTTGCATGGATTTTGCGTATGCACAATCACAAATTCTTGCATTGGTTTTGGGGCATATGTATCTTTGTGCATTAACTGATATAGTGGTGCTTTTGAAAGCTGATAAACCTGTTACTGCTTGTATCTCTAAAGGYAAGGCTAGAAAGCCTTGAGAGTCATAGCCAAGGTAGGTTGTTCAGCCTAATAAACTCCTGCTGAAGCTAGGACATGCAACTGCATGGACTGGTTACCCAGTTAGCTTTATTGTTTTCTCTCATTCTCTGTGACTTCATATTTATTGGAGACATGATCTGCACACAAATGTTACGGTGTTAAATTCCACCTTGTTGCTAGTCCATCTGGAATATTTAGGTGCAGCCAAGATGGTTAATGTTGCTGCACCATAAGAGACTTAAGTGCAAGAGATGCATTTAGTCTGAAGAGTAGATTTTAATATGGAATATAACATACAATGGCTTGGTCACGTATAGAAGAAAACATATGCTTTTCTGYCAGCAATAAGTTTGGGTTCTAGCTGGCTTGTGCATTTAATACATCCCTTTGAAACTTTTAATTCAAGGTGAAGTTGAGATAGAGCATGTGTGCCATTATGTAGATACATACAAGTGTTTGCAACCTCAAACTTGAGAAAGGAAGAATCAATAAGTAAGGAGGTTCAAAGATGTTAGCAAAACCTCCAGCAAAGCACAGGATCTGGGCTAATTGACCTGCAGGTCTGTTTTGGCCAGGAGTTTACCAGCTTGTGATGAGTATCATGGCTGAGTTTTCTCAGGTAGGTTCTGTTAGAAATCCCTGTGTTATTGGCTTTGACAGACTTTTTGATCTCAGTATGTAGGCTAGTATCTGATAAAATCATTAGAGGTGGCTCTGAGTTGAAAGCATTGCTATATCTYTGCAGGCAGTGTGCAGAAGCCCATGTTGTCTCAGTAAAGTAGTCTAAGCTGAAATAATTTGAGACCCAGCATAAAGCTGTGCGGAGATCCTATGCTAAAAATAGTATATTAAACTGCTTRACAGACCATTTTGAAGCACACAGCTCAAAAAATTAATCTTCATTCTTTATTTTGTTCCACATCCCCATCTGCAGCATCTACAGTAAGTACAAAGTCAGTGTCAACACCAGGATCTCTGCAGCGATCCCGCAGCGACGTGGACGTGAACGCAGCAGCTAGTGCCAAGTCTAAAGTGACATCTGGAGCATCCACCCCCTTCAGTTCTGCTGCAGCCTTGCCCCCAGGCTCATATGCATCACTAGGTAAATCTGCATATTTTTCTACAGTTGGTTTTCTTTACTACCAGAAAGTATGTAGGTTTTGATTTGAATATTAAGCTGTATTTAAAAATCATGTCTGAGAGATACCTACCAGCTGTCCAGCATCAGGGAATGGTCTCTGCATTTTGGGCTTAAGGTAAAAACTTGAAAAGGGAAGCTTTGATGGTCTTCCTCTGTCTGACGTTTTTTTTCTGGGGGGAGAGTTTCTGTTCTGCCTCTGTGACATTGTTGAGGAGAATGCTTAATGTTCAGGTCCTTTCTGATGTGTCACCTCCTTCTCTTCCTTCCCCGAGGCTGGTTTTCTGTGGTTCATCTTGTTTTGCAAACTGAATCTTGGTTGAGTTGCTCACTTTATCTTTTACAAAAGAGAAAAGAGGTGTAGAAGTGAGGAGAGGAGTTAAGTCTTTTTATTTCACTACACTTCAYTACAGTAAGGACCTAACTAGCCATTCCTTAGACAGACTCTTTCTGGATTATAACCACATGTCACATTTTTTTCCAAGTATTGTATGCTGTTGTCAGGTGCCCTGTTCTTTTCTGACAATAAAGCTTGTATTTGACTTTTATTTTTTCCCCCCTGATGGAGTTGTGCTGTTGCTATCTGGCTGAAGGAGAAGTGCAAGGTGGTGAYTGGTGCTATTTTCTTAGCCTCAACTTGGTTTCATGAGTCTAGGTTTGTCCCAGATAGTGCTGAGCACCTGAGCTGGTTTCTCATTCAGTTATTTTCATACTCACYTAGTTCCAGACTCTTCACTGATTTATCTTCATAAGAGTGGGAAGAATCAGATGTCTTGTCCACACTAGAATCACTGGTCTTAATTTCCATTGTGCAGATTAAGCCTTTACTGAATCAGATAAAACATAACTCCTTTGTGTAGAGCGTTTAGTCTTTAGTTTGACCTTAAACRTTCTGTAAATTATGTAGGATGCTTTCAATAGACTCCTTTAGCAGCTAGATTTTTCTTGTGTCTAAAATATTTTAYCTTGGCATAATTCTCTTGGTTGTATTTGGTTCAGAGATTGTGCAGTAGTTTTTTGTCATGGTTTAAGTTGATTGTTCTTGATGCATTGCCTTAAAAACTTAATACAGCCTGTGGAGCTGAATGCATGTTGGTCTGTGCTCAAAGCTTCCAGTTGCAGGAATTTTGAGTTGCTTTGTATCCTGGTTTCTGTGGCAAAAGTGCTTTAAGACAGTCCTGTGTCATGCGGAAGAGGGGAATAGAGGGGAACAAACTGTTAAAACTGGCTTTGTTTTTTGSTGGGCACTGAAAAGACTGTGTCAGCCTCACGCTTAAGGTGGGACTGTAGCAGAAGTGGCAGACTAGCTCTGACTTAGACGTGTGGTTGTACCTAAAGGATTCTGTTTCCCTTTGAGCTAGTAAGGAAGTTTGTCACCTGTACATTTCCATGAAAGAATTATTGAGACAAAACCCACAGTTTAGCAAAGTTAAGTGTTACTGTAGGATTAAAAAAAACCAAACAAAACCTTAAATATGTTATCCAGATGCTTCAAGCTTGCATTTGCTGCTTAATCAAACTTCCTTTTCCTCTTTCTTTTCTCTGATTATACTGATTCTTCCCTATTAATCCTTTCCTTTATTTTCTTTTTAATTTGCTTAAAGATGGTACTACCACTAAACCCGAGGGTAAGCAGTCGCTCTATGTTAACCGAGGTGTGTCTACAGTCGTACCACCCCTACCTGATCTCTGTTCTCCGAGTGTCACCTGGTTCTCATCCGTGTTCACTGGTGATCTGCATGAAGTGTTGCATGGTTGTTCTGCTCATTTTGATGCCGCCATGGGGTTTTCTTCACTTCTCTGGCCCCCTCACAGGCACTGCTCTGGTTTTATGCCTGACTTTCTGATCACCGAGTTGTATCTGGGTCTCTGTTTCAATGGGTGCTTTYGGTTGAAGGTGACCTGTACACAGATTTTTAAAAAAAGGGCTTGTGTTCTCCAGCTCTAYTATGTGTAAAGGTTTGCTGTGTTTTTCCACCCGAAGCTCAGGTCTCARCTGCCAAATGCTTTCAGGGAGAGACTGGGCAGCAAGAGAGTTTAATGAGATGATCACATGGCAGAAAAATGAGGGCAGTAAACAATGATCCCCAGGGAAAGAGTATTTAGTCAGCCTCTTTAAACCTGAGCAGTCTGTTATTGATAACTGAGTAAGGTGGCATGTGTCTGAGAGAGTTGAGGGAAAGCTGTTTTCTGAGAGAAGGCACAGTGAGCCTAGCAGTTTGGGAGGGCTCCCAGTCCCCTTCTCTGGCTCTTTGTCAAGGCTTGTTCTTTATTTCTCACTTCTCAAGCGAGAAAAGATCACTGAGAAATCACTTTGGAAGTAGACAGGGATAGAAAACAAGAAGCCCCTATGTATAATGAAGAAGAAACCCTCTACAAACCCATTTTTTCCTGATGCAAGTCTCGAGATCTGTTACTGTCATGTGGGACATCTCCTCGCTTGCAGTAGAACATGGTATTCTGAGAAGGGCCACCATGTCCCTGTGGGGTTGGGGTTTCCTTCCCCCCTACCATTGATACATTGAGTTGTTATTTAAAAGGAAGAGATTCTTGCATCTCCTGAACTGGCATTTAATCTTAGTGTTAATAAATGAACTGGCTCTTAACCATGGGCAAGTGTTTAAGCTTTGATCCGTCACTGATAAGGGATGTGAAGTTAACTTAAACATCTATATTTCTAAATCAAAAGCCAGTTGGATGAGAATTCCAAACTGATACAGACTGGAGCTTTCTTACTCATTGCTGACCCTTCTTCTTCCCTTCTCAGTTCCCAAACCTTTCTAGTTTCACTCTAACCGTGGAAAGTTGAATATTAATGTCAGTTTCTGAAATACCCTATGCAGCTCTTTAAACTGCTCTCCTGGGTTGTAAGAAACATTTGTGGAGGGCTGTAAGAAACATTTGTGGAGGGCTGTTTTACCACCTGTCCTCTAAAATACCTTTAGTTTATTAAATTCTTGATGTGAAAGCTTTTTTTTTTTTTTTTTTTTTTTTTTTTTTTTTTTTTT